CGTGAGAATCCATAAGATTTTCTTTTATTAAGGAGATTTTTCCATGAGAAAATTTTTTAGAATGCTCAAAGAAATAAAAAATATGAAAATGAAAAAATTTTCCTTCAACCATTAGCCCGGAATAATAATCCATAACTTTTGCCTGGGGAAAGTGACTTTTTTTCACAGTTAACTTTCTCATCAACCGCTGTTCCCGCATATATTTATTTCGTAGATGATAATATATCGCTCCGAGGAACCAAAAGAGGGAAATGAAAAAAAAAATTGCCACCGGCCCAAGGGAACAACGACTTTCTGCGGAAAAAAGACTTTTCTACAAAATAACATTTTTTCATTGACAAATGGTTGAGTCCGGTTTATATTACATGAAAGAAATATACTTGAGTGAAGTGTACTTTGTACTTGATATCCACTCGATGATGTAAGGCATTATTTCCAATTTTTTTGCATTATTAACGTTTGTTTAATTTTGGAGGATCTCATTTGACGGTCAATCGACTTTTTTCCAAAAACTTAATTAATAATGAATTTCTCTATTTATATTTATATTTATATTTATTATTTAAATATAAAAAAAAGCAGAGATGATGAAAATCTCGAAATTAAGTTAATATTATTCTATCAAGATGAAAATTAAATGCAACAATAAAATTAACTCCATCTAAACAATACGAAATAAAATAAAAAAAATTACTAACTTCAAAACACAAATGTAAATATATATTGATGGAAGCAATATTATCAACCGATCTCTGATTCGATGATAAAAACAATAAACAACGAAAAATTAATTGAAATAATAAAGTCACGTGTTTCCCCTATTTTTAGTGAATTTCTTAAAAATACCATGTGTTTCGTATAAACCACAATAATCGGATATACCATAGGTTATATATTGATCGTCCTAAATATAACATCGAGTTAGCCGAGTACAGTATATCCCAACTTGCACTGACACACGAACACCAAACCAAAACCGCAAGTAGCAAAAGCCCTACACACGCGAATAACACTCGACTACCTACCCTAGAATCGCAACCATGTTTTGTGTCTCAAAAGAGCGTATTAATGTGCATAATGCACGTGAAAGCATCATTTAGAGTACCATTGAGATTTGCGCGAATAAATTCATTGAATTTTTCATTTACCTCCTCTTCCGCGGGAAATTACACGAGAAATCGTTACTCAACTGCTCACCTTCCTGCATTCTTTAGAATCAAAAGCCAAATAAATCGATACGTAATCGCTTACTGGGAATTTATTCGCTGCAGGGGAGAGAGAGTACATGAAATTTCCATTATAATCGGCTGCTTGATCTAGTTTTAGCTGAACGGTTACAAATTTGTTTATTCTTCCAACCAGTCCTATTTAAATCTAACTCTTCTGTTTTATTTCATCTAGATCTCAACGTGTTCACCGAGATAAATTTATTTGTTTAAACAATAGAACAGCTTAAATAGATTTTTAAAGATCTGGTTGTTATGTGGTTAATGGAGAAATTAATGGATTTGAAGGAATTTCTGGAGTTGATACCCCATCGTTGATTAATGGACTTGAAGAAAATTCTGGAATCGATACGTAATCGTTTACTCATAATTAATTCGCTGTAGGGCGAGGAGAGTACATGACATTTCCATTATAATCAGCTGCTTAATCCAGTTTTAGCTAGACTGCTAGGAATTTATTTATTTTTCACCAACCAGTGCTATTTAAATCTTAATGCTCTGGGATTTAATTTCATTTGCATCTTTACATATTTACATGTCTCATGAAAATTCCTATTCAGCTGGAAAGTTCAATTAAATTCAGGATGTTAATTATAAAGAATTAAAAAGTTGTATTTCAAGGACAGGAAAAATTAATGTTAAATCTAATTGAATTTCCAATAGCGTAAAAATTCGCGGAAATAATTATCATAATTTTCAAATCAGTTATTCCACAATCAATTCGTTATCAATTATTATCAATTATTTTCTCGTACAAAAACTCGTAGAAATAGCAGGCGAAAATACTTCTGTTAGATATTCCTTCAAGTTAATTAGTTCCTCCATTAATTACATAATACACAGGTTTATCGGACTATTTAAATTGTTCCATTGATGATCAATTGACGTTGGTATTTTTTTTTCTGTCTCCAATTGGCGTGAAAGGTCTTGCTTGAATAAATTCAAAAATATAACAGATCCATTACCCCCATTTCACCCTTTCACTATCCCTTACTCGTTCCAAATGTATTTATAAACATTGTAAATCCCCTCCAATTGTACTTCACTCACTCTCGAATAAAATGGAAGCTATTAGAATGGTTGAAACAAAAACCCATGAAGTGGTTAAAAAACCGAAGTGGTTTCTGTCTTGAAAAAGGGACTATTGTTTTTTTTTTTACGACCTACTTCGGGCAGTGTATTGGCGTGGTTGGAAGTCATAGTAAAAGCCAGTGACTTGACTTCTTTCTGGCAACGAGGGGATAACCCATGTTTTCTGGAAAATACTGGAAAATCGATAGTACAGAGCTTTTATGACGGTTTTCCCACTTCGTATGGCGTTTCATTACATCACACCTGGAGAACTCTATCGTGTCTCATTTATTCCAATTTTTTCTATTCACTTTTTATTTCGATTAATTCCCTTGGTTGTATCGCTGTTTGTGCGAATTACTTCAGAGTAATTCATTAACGAGTTCAAGCAATTAATGGAGATGCTTTTATAAATTCCAACGAAAAGACCGTGAACTCGTGGTGATTCCATTAATTAACCCCTTTTGTGAACATTATTATTGTTTTTTATCATGATTTTTTAATGAATGACAAATACGTTTCGTGATTGGTGTAATTTACGGATTAATTTCACTCCGTTTATCGTTTTTTATGAATGAGTACGTCATCTTTATGGTTTTTAATTTTAATTATTTAATGATTGTTGTTTTTAATGTTTTTTAATGGTGGATGTATTTTTTTATCGACAGGGGCGTTGATTTTTTATGGTAGCAAATTAATGAACTTTTTTCAGTTCATTGAAACCTCAAATTTGTGGTGATGCTAGAAACTGGAAACCTGGATGTTGTCCCGAATTTTCGAAATACGGTTGACCTGTAGTTGACGGAGATATAATTGAACGTATCAACTGAACTGGTAAACAAGATTATTTGATGACTCAGTGCCTGAATACATTGAATAAATTTGTCAACTAACTGAATATTGAATCAAATGTCAGAACAAATGTTAACAATTCAGTTATGCCATTTAGTTTAGGAAGTTTTTTTTGCATAAATATACAACAACTGAAACTCTCATTGAATATTCAATCATTTTTTTTATGCAAAATTCGTAGATTTATTGTAAAATCTGGGAGAACGAAAAAATTTTGGTTTATAAAGAAAAAAAATCAAGAAAATTTAGAAAAATCAATCATCAATTTCCGGATTTATCGGACGATTATTTTTCAGAAAATTAAAAAAAGAAATGGATAAATGAAATTTTTATAAATGAAAAAATAAAAACTCCTAGACTATCAAAAAATCTAAAGATGTTCCCATATTTCGACAATCTCAAGAAAATATTGAGAAAATACGTAAAAGAACTATCAAGAAACTTTTAATACAGTATCTCTCCAGTAGCGTCATTTTCCGAGAATTCCTATTAGGTTTCAATTATGAGAATTATATTGCTCTAAAAGAGAATCATGTTAGACAAGACTAAGTGAGTTCCTTCAATAATTATTAACATTAAAAAAAATGTTCGTCAAGTCCTCTCAAAGAAGAACGCACCTCCGAACAAATTGAGAATTCCTTTTTCCAAATGAGAAATCTAAAGATCTAATAAAAATCTTGAAAACTAGCTTCATAGAAGATTACAAAAGAACCTCTTTCGTGACAAGGAAATTCTCTACAAAAAAGGTCTCTTGCTAGATTTCCAGATACGCCCGACAATTTCATCCGAAATTGCCAAAAAATAAACCTGAAAAATCCCTCCACCATGCGTCCCTCCCCGATCACAAATATCTACCTAAGATAATCCTCAATATTGAACAAAAAATGAAAGCCTGGACCGAACGGTTCGGCGTACCTCCATTTCATCAAGACAATAAATAAAATTTCGCATCCTCACGAAGGAAGTCCAAGTGAAGGCACTGCTCCAGGAAACCAAAGACCATTTGCGCCTTCCTGTCCGGGAAAATCATGAGTCAGCGCCCGAGCATTCACTTTGTATAAAATTCACCATTTAATTCGATCAAAAAGACCCGACAATTTCGCATTCAACCGTCTATTGACAAAAGGATCGATAAGGCATCCCACCGAAAAGTTTTTTCAACTTTCTTCCATGAACCCGATGAAAGGTGGCATTATATCAAAATAATCCGGGCCTAAGGTCGCGGCAAAAAGCCAAAGAATCCAGAGCATCAGTCGCTCTTCCACTCGTCGAGCCAATGACTCATTCTACCACTCGTCTCGCAGATGAAATCTCTGGACACGTGTTGTGTCTGAATAATGTACATGTGTATATAGCTACGTCTGGCAAGATGAAATGTATGAGCAGTTGGATATTTACTGCGTGCATATGTGATATTGACGATATAGTACATAGCCCGCATTATTGAACATCTCCGTATACATCCTTCAATTGAATTTCATTACCCGATTCTTCGATATGCATTCGTTGACTATGTCAATTGTTTTTCAACGAGTACAGCTTCCTCGTAAGATATCAAATCTGTCGAGTCTTTCAAGGACTAGTCCAGTATTATTAGCTCTCAAAACGACTGATTAAAAGAAAAATTCTACAATGTATATCCTTAAAGGAAAATATTTGATGATTTTATGAGGAGAGATACGAAATATTTGAGTATAAATATATGAAATGGTTTGAAAGTCGTTTTTAAATTGATTTTATGATTTTGTGGATGTTATAATGCAATGTTATATATGTCTATACATATATATAGACATAGAATGAAAATAAAATATGATTATTGCACTTGTTATAAAACTTGAAATAGCCTACCTGATTCTCCGAGTTGAGTAATTTGAGCTGTTCGTTGATAAGACTGTACTTGGTGCTTTCCTCCTTCCTAAGTGCCCTCTCCTTCTTCAATTCAGGACTCCAGAACGTTTTGATACTATGCATCGAGCTGCCAAGCTTCTGATTAGTGAGCTCGAGTTCCTTCTTAAGGTTCCCAAGCTCTCTCTGAAGATCATTATTCTGATGCTGGAGCTCCCCAATATAAAGACCACCATCCCTGAGGAGATGTGGATTGGGACTCTGCCTAGCTGATCTCGATCCATAGATATCGTCATCCAGATACAATCCACCGCGATCCCTGCTGCGCTCCCTGGGCTCCCGTATCGGGACAAATTCTCGATCATGATCGAGAATTCCAGCTGACGCCCGATCCAAACTCGTATACCTGGCTGACAGTCCTGAAGCCCCTGACATTGCCGGTCTCGAGGCACTTCGTGATCTGTGATGACCACCACCCCCTGTTGACATACTCCTGCCCCTTTCCTCCAGCATAACTGGACTACCAAGATCCTCGTCGCGTGAATAAAAAGGACTACTCAACTGATGATGATGATACGATCCATAACCAAGGTGTTCCGGTGAATTATTACCACTTCTCGTTCCACGTTTTCGTCCAAGTGGACTACCCCGTCCACTGGCATAAGTCCTCGAAGGACTACGATCAACTGTCGGCAATTCCCCTACGCGTCTACCACTACGCGGTGATCTAGTCCCACCACCTGGACCAACCACCCCACTTGAGGCGTAAGGGTCCCTAGACATATCTCAATAAACGTCTCTCTTCTCTATCTTTCCCCCTCCCACCCCCGTATCCACTCACTCTATCTCTCTCCCCTAATCTCACTTCCGGTACTGCCCTTTTTTTTTTATCTACACCAAAATCCCCTCCACCGCGATCACCTCCTTCTCACCCCTATCCTCTCATCCACCAATGATTTATCTCTCTCACTTTTAACCGACCTGACCCACTTGCCTACGTTTTCCCGCTCCAGATATATCTCGATTTTTTCACTTCCCTCTCTGGCTTCCTCACCAACTTAGTCTCCCAATTGCTACTTTCTTCAAGGTGGAGCTCCTGTCGGTGTCTCCTCCACTCGTCCAAGGGGATCATTAACTGTTTCATTCGATTCTCAATTGTGAGAGGTTTTGATGAGGGTCTGTTCCACTGGCAAAATGGAGCCACTACTTCCGATTCAATTGCAGGGTAGATTTTTATCTCCACTGTGGTGACCCCTTCGGATGCTGACTGGCTTATCGATTTCCTCACGTGCTCAATGACAGGCATCAATTTCACGAGGTTGTTTGATGACTTGGTCCACATCAAGCTTCTGCGGCTGATGTGCCTTTTCGTTTCACTCTATCAATCATGACTCCTCTCCTTCGTGTCATCGATCGACCTTCAATCGTCCTGTTTCACGTATGGACAGGGCTGTTCATTCGTGGCTCATCCTGATCGACCTGGTGATGATCACTTGGACCGGATGTTGTCCAACAATTATTTACACCTGTCCAATTCATTCGCCGACATTGGGATCTTCACTTGACGCTTCACCCTGTCGATGTTCTTCCATGTAATCTACCAGGACATCTCCAAATGATACCACTCATATCTGGACTAAACGGATCATCATCGTATCGATGTCATGAGAATGGAATTCGGAGAATTTGGATGAGAACACGAGTGTCAGGACACTCGACTCACCGCTATCGATCTTTGACCCGTTTACCCTGAATAAAACCATGGGAGTACCTCAACGAATCAAAACCACTGGCCGCATTTCCTTCTCGCGGTATCGCGCTAACATCCGTTACAAATTTTCGTTTCTCGTCCTCTCGAATTACCCTTGACGTTTCTTCCTTACCCACGCACGATATCACTTGCCCCACGTATTCAATTCACCCCGACAATTTATCCGCCATTTGCTGACAGAACAAAATGTCTCCAGACTAGTGACTGCATTTTTTGTCATTCCGACAGATGAGATTATCTGTATCATCAATTCCCTGTGAAACATCCCACCCCCGTGAACGTTCCACGTATCCACCGCCTATCCAATCGATCTCATCCTCACAACTACCACTCCACTGCCCTCTCTTCTCTCCCTCACAGACACATTAATACACCTCTCAGCACATACATCAAACAAATATCATCTCAAAAAAAAATCCCGTCTATTTGTCTCGAGGCGAAGGGTTGCGATGTCGATATTTTTTATTTATTCAAATTTCCCTCCTCGGTCAAACCCCCTTCACCACCCCTATCCCGTCCACCAGGAGGCGCTAGGACACACATGCACACACGCGATAAGGTTATGAGAGGGTTTTTTTTTTTACTAGTACAAATGCCCATTCGAGTCCCCCCCCCAGTTGGTACACGAGTGCGGGTTTATTGATGGTGTGCGGTGGAAAAAAAAAGGGCTCGATCGACGTCGCGACGGATCCGCGCGAGCACTGACTCTAGGCTCGACCGCTCCACCGGTGAGTACCCAAAGCGGTACATCCCCAGAAGGCGCCACCGCTGCAAGCGTCTGCGCAGTGCAAACACTTGCGCGTACTTGCAACCCCGATTTAGGGTTCCGAGGGGTGAGAAATGCTCGCGGTGATGACGACACGGGGGATGGGACACTCCGGGGTCAATAACGTCGCGTAACGGAGGGGGGGATTTCGATCGATTTCAAGGGGGGAGGAAATAATCAATGGGGATGGTGTGTCACGTTTACGGGGGTTCCCCGTAACGATACATATATGTCAATGCGCACTGATATTTCGGAAAAAATTCACGCCAGCCCATACACCCCGTGGAAAATCGTTGTAGATATTGTGGAAATAATATCGTTGTATTAATTTATCAGTTTTTAATAATAAAAAAAGCACTCTGTCCTTTTTTGGACGCATCCAATATTTAAGGAGTTGTAATATTGTTAACAATTGAGAGTTGAGGAAAATTCGTGAGAGAAGTTGGAGAAAATTCTGTTCGTCTTAAAGGAGTTCCGTTTGTTGTTCCCCTTTAACATATAGATAAAATAAAATAAAAATAGAAATAAATAAAAACACCCAGAAGTATTTCCCATTGAAAGTTTTGTTAGCAGTAGAAAAGTTTATTCTATATTTTTTTCTGACTGATGCTCATCGTTTCGAGTATAAATAAAAAAAACATTTTTATTTAAAAAAACATTAATGCGTAATCACCACTCAGGTAAACGGACAAACAATTTATTCATTATTCCACAGGTATTTCGAAAACGTAGAAGTTGGCGAGACTTTTTCCGAAACTTTAGCGTACTGCATATTCCGTCTGACTCGAACCGCTTAACCACTTGGTTGGGAAAATTTTTTAATAAATTCCGTGGAAAATTAGGAAAATCGTGGAATTATTTTGCAAGTAGCTCAACCACTTGCGCCATTTATCTATTATTGGTTCTATCGGATTCCACGGTTTACGGGAATTGTTGAAGTTGTTTCATGGCTCGTTTAAATTTACTGGAGATCGATATCGTCACCACGAGGGAGAGGGAAAAAGGTACACCTGTGAAACTGCCGGTCCAAACTCGGCATTTACTACTTGCGTACATCCGGTGCACGGAAAAAAATATATCGGACTTGAAGACAGAGAGAAAAAAAAATATTTAGTCTCCTTTCCTATCATTTTAAATATATCTATTTCCCACCAGTAAATATGTATAAATACTTCCACAGGATGTGCTAATACCGAATATATACTGAGGAAAAAATTTCTTTTCTCAGAGTATATTCGTCACACTTGAAATAAGTATATTAATATATTATATATGAATATAATATATTATATATTATATTTATATATTATTTATATATTTATTTATATAATTTATATTTCGCTTTCAGTGGGAGGAATTGAAGAGAATGTTTTTATCAATTTCTGGGATCCATAAATTGATTAGGTATTGGCTAATGAGTTCTGTGAAGAAAGTATTTGCTAGTCGATCCCTCATTTTTCTCAGACGATTGAGAAATTTGATGGAACATAACGTACAAACAGCACAGCAGCCTCATAAAAATTGTTGATCGCTCATGAATTTTGTATTTTATACGCGCAATAAGTCGACTATTTCCTTGAGATTTTACTTGTTCGGATAAAATTACGCGACGATTTCGTACTTTATCCAGCGATCAACTACAGAAATTTTCTATGAATTTTTTGTACAGCATAAAAATTTTTAGTATTCTAAACCTTGAATCATTGAATTGAATGAAAATTGAACGGAAAAACAATCCGAAAATCTCTCGAAAACATGGAAAAATGGATCAACCTAGTTTTTGTTATCTTTCGGAGTCAGGATGGGGTTTCGCTGGCTCAGGAGCCTAAAATATTGTAGGAAAACGCTGAATATTCGTGAAAATAGTGTAAACTGAATATTTAAAGTATTCATTACAATTTTTATGGTGAGGATGCATTAAGGATACGCATTTAGCCGAAATTATCGGTTTTTTAATTTTCTGATAAATCGCTGATCGGATTGACCCAAAAAAAAAAACACCATTTCCCCATTTTATAATGATTTCATGACTCACGGATATGAGCATGTATATGGCAATAACTTTCAGGTATTTTTTCTAAAATCCTATGAATTATTGGGATCATGATATTTTGGGATCCATTAAATAATGATAAAATGTAAAAACCGTATATTTCTTCGTATAAATCCAATAAACAATTCTCCAGAATAATCACGTTTTATAAATTTTTCCGGCTAACGTACAGTGGGATTGAAAAAATATAAAAATTTCGCTGTGCGGCCGTGTGAATTACTGATACCCGTAGACGTATGTGTAATTAACGCTTGTAAGGGGGTAAAAGAGGGGAGGGAAAATGGTAAAGAAAAAAACGGAATATAGAGGAATATCAGTGAATGGATAGTGAATTTCGGCGTGAGATCGCGTGCGCAAGTGCCTCCGCTATGCATTTATACATAACCCTCCGCTATACATATATGCATATGGCCCTCCGCTATATATATGTATCATTTAGCTAGCACCCCGGCGTATAAGTTGCAATCAATGAAGCTACGATTCACCTGACAGTGCCGTAAATGCCGGTTCGTCGGCAGGGCACTGGGATAATCGTAAAAATATCATAAAATTCGTCTTTTCACACTTTTCTTTTTAACCAATGTGAAAACTTCATGCCCATGTATTGATCCATACCTCCCCTCAGCTGCGCATTGAGTGCTTTATCCACTATTTTTTTTTTATACTTTTCTCGGATTACATTGTCTATCTTATTCCATTAAAAAATTTATTACCGATTTTTCTCATTTTTTATATTTTTTGGGAACCGTGAGGCCGATTGACGTAGAAAGGTACAGTGTTTTTTGATTTTATCATTATTCAATGACATAAATTTTGGGAGGCGTGCGCTTATTTTTCTAAATTTTTGGCAAAGATTTGGGAATTTTTGCGAACGTTGCAAAAACGGAAAAAAGGGCAGAAACGGTGTTTCATCTTTTTTCACATTAATTGTACCTGTTTCTCAGGAATTTATAAAAAACTTGAAAAATGAAAACATATCAGTAATAATAATTTGATTACCGAAAATAATGAATTGTGATTGAATAAGTGTAATTCTTTCTTTTCCTTATTGAACAAATCCGGATATTTTACTCTCTCACTGCTTCAAGCAATTATTTCATATTATAATTTTTATAAATAACTGATAGTAACTTGAACAATGGATTTCAGTCCATAAATAATTGATGTATCTCGCTAGTTATCGGAATTTTATAATTACATCGACTGAATCGAATTGAAAGTCTGACGTATAAAAAAGAGAACAACCTCTCTATCAAATTTGTCCGATTATCTCAGAAACATGTAAAATATTTTTTTTTTAATAAAATTAATTGACTTCTTCAATTTCTGCATTACATTATCTAATTCAGAAGCAACTGGTGCTGCATTCTATGAGGAATAGATACAAATTGATAGAGACGTCTCAACTTAATTGATAAAAACTCATAATTATTTTATATCATTTTTTGACGGAAGATATCATGAAGATCGCTGATCTAGAGGCAGCAGGGAATTGATAATAAAAATGTGGGGATAAATAATAATTGTGGTACCAGATATATTTATTATCTGCCGACTGCTGTTATCGTATCATCAATCGCTAATCCCTGTTCATTTTCCCCGGGTTATTCTCATCTGACCGCTGGCCTCTGTACTGTGTCAACAGCACAGTGATAACAAGAAAGATCATAATGTAAATATCAAGGAAATTGTTGAAGTTATTCAGTGCACGACTGGCCCCCTTGCCATCCACGTCGTTCTGATAGCACGACATTTCGTGCTTGCCAGTTTGATAATTAGTTTATTCAACAATGTGGAAGTATTTGGGGGTCTTGACCTTGATTTGCTCGGTCAGTGCTGACTGGCATGCAGATTTTGGACCCTGGGTTGTTTCTACTCAAGGTGAACCCTGGCCTCTGGTTAATCAGAGAAATCTCCACGAGGGATTCTTAATTCTACAACCCTCTGGATTTAATATTAATGTAAGTTATCTCTTGCTAATTATAAAAGAATTAACATCTTCAATTATTTAAGAGTTATTGTTGCCGATATTTTTTCATTTTTTCGGTTTTTTTTTATGAATTTTATTCGGGAATCATGGATTAGGTTGATTTGAAAAAATATACTATCTCTATCATTTTTTAGTGGCTCATATTTTTCGAATTTGTTGCCGCAGTATTGATGAAACATTGAATAATAATCAAATTGAACAATGGGAAGATATCGGCTATAACTCCTTTATTGAGTTATAAAAAACAAAATAACCTAGGGTTCTGTTTCGTCCAGTTTCCCAATCCCCGTTATGTATGACAGAGAGAGGAATTAAATAGTTTATAATTAGTTTGAGTAATTAATAAATTCAGGAATGAATTGCAATTTCCGAAAGAATTTTCTATTTTTATTTAATGAGCAATCTCTTTTCTTTCGAAATATTGTATTGCTTTAACATTTCAAAGTAATTCTGATATTAGATATACGAGATTATCTCGCTATTTAGTCATTATAACAGAATATATTATTATTATTCTATTTTCGATATTATGTTATTGTATATTTAAAATTATATTTGATGAATTGCGCCATAAAATCCGCGATTGCACCTTCGAGTAATATTGAAAATATTTTTATTTAATGTAATTGGACGATTGCGAAAGATTTCCAATCGAATTTATTTTTCAGCTTGTCAATGCATTTTTAAATGCGGCGTCAGGTTGACGTCGCAATTACCGGCGTGTAAGTGTGAAATATGCGTGTTCAATATTGTCTAGAGGGGAAATCCAAAAACAGATTTTATCATAGCGTTATGAAAGATAAATCCAATGGTTGATAAATCACAATGTATTTCCTCTCGCTATCTTCTATCTTTGCAAAGTAATTATAATAGTTGAGTGAAAAAAATAAAAATAAAAATGACTCAACTATCGAATCATCACTAATTATTTCAGAAACAGAGAAAGTTGTTCAGTAACACTGCGGGAGGGAAGGGGAAAATAGTTATTGAATTATTTAAAAAAATGATCTTTTCAATGATTATTTTTCAGCTAAATCAAGATTGTGATGTCCTTGAAGCAGCCAAAAGTCGATATATGAGTATTATCATATCAGAGAGTCATTACGCTTATCAGAATTCTCGAAAGTCGGAAAAAAGAAATTCAATTCGCGAAAATCCAACCTTCAAGGGAGAACTCGAGACCCTCGACATTCGTGTTGATGGCGCCTGCGAGGTGTTACCGTACCTCCACATGAACGAAAGCTGTAAATATTTTATTGCCTCCAAGCGGAGGCTCCGCCATAAACTTTTATCACTGTTAAAACTCCGGCATTGGCTGGCGAATAGACTTGTAATGTCTTTCAATTGCTAAAAGTGTCCAACATGCTAATATTTGTTTGAGAGAAGATTGCTGTCTATTTGTTCTAAAATTGCCTAAGGCTTGCGTTATTTTTATCCCATACAATATTGATTTCTGATAGTACTGCTATTTTTTGATTTTATTATGCTTCAGATAGCCTGACGATTACTGGAAAAACAGCTGATTTGATTGCACCTTCTGTGTGGGGTGCTCTCCGTGGATTGGAGACCTTCACGCAGCTGTTGGTAGCCGCTGATGAAGGGGCAAATGTAAATCAACTTTAATCAATCAATACTAGTAATAAAGCTAATCAATACCACTTACGTTTCAGTTGAAAGTACAAACCCAAACAATTCAAGATGCTCCAATGCTACCCCACAGGGGTCTCCTCCTGGACACGTCCCGTCATTTCTTTCCACTCAGAGATATTTATTTGACGTTAGATGCCATGTCTTATAACAAACTCAACGTTTTCCACTGGCACATCGTCGATGATAACAGTTTTCCTTATGAGAGCAAAGCTTTCCCTGAATTGTCTGAGAAGGGTTCGTGGCACCCTGACATGATCTACACTGCTGACGACATCAAAAACGTGATTGAGTATGCAAGATTCAGAGGAATTCGAGTGATGCCCGAGTTTGATTCTCCAGGTCATGTCAGATCTTGGGGAGAGTCGCATTCAGAGTTGCTGACTACTTGCTATGGTAAAGAGAATATTCTAGAATACTTTTTGGATTACTTCTATATATCTCACGGAAGATCAACTGAATTGAGTGGAGGGTAGAGAAATTCATCAAGGTTGTCCCGTTTTTTTAAATTCATTCTTCCTTTTGCTTTAATTTTTATTATTCTATTCATCTATTAATTTGAAATGTCCATAATTATTCCTGATTCCGTTCCATCTATCTCTCGATTTCGGAGATTTTCTATGAAACTTGTTAAATGAATCATTGAGACATATTTCAGATAGAAGTGGATTACCTGATGGACGCTTGGGTCCCATAGACCCCAGCAATGAAAACATCTGGCCCTTCCTGGCAACTCTTTTTAACGAAGTCATGGACCTTTTCCATGATAAATATATTCATCTGGGCGGTGATGAGGTTCCCTTCGACTGCTGGCAGAGCAATCCCAATATCCGTGATTTTATGAGTAGAAAAGGAATGGGAAGTGACTTCACGCGTCTTGAGAGTAGTTATATTGCAGAACTCTTGAAGATCCCTGCAGCTCATAACAAAAGCTCTGTTGTTTGGCAAGAGGTAATTCGAGAGTGTTCGAAAACTAAAATCAAATAAAAAATAAAGAGATCGTACAGATAGAACACAGTAAATAATACAGATTTTAAATCACAATTAGAACTTATAATGAGTATGAGCTTCAAATATTATTTTTTTAATGATTGAGTGCTAAAGCTAGTAGTATTGAGGAGAATCTGAGAGTTTTTTTTACTTTAAACTCGTAAATTGTATTATCAGGTCTTCGATAATAACGTGGAAATCACACCAGACACAGTGGTGCACGTGTGGACAGGCTTGTGGTCCAAGGAATTGGCGAGTGCAACGAGGAAAGGACATCCGGTGCTGTTATCAGCCTGTTGGTACCTGGATCACATTGCAGGAGGTGGGGATTGGCAGAAATTTTACAGATGCAATCCCCTGGCATTCAATGGCTCAAATGTCAATATGCATTTGATGCTCGGAGGAGAGGCTTGCATGTGGGGTGAATTTGTCGATTCCACGAATGTTCATCAGAGGATCTGGCCACGGGCTAGTGCAACTGCTGAACGACTCTGGACAGACAATGCTGATACTGTCCAACGTGCAGCCAGAAGACTTGAGGAGCACACCTGTCGAATGAGGAAGAGGAAAGTACCTGCACAACCACCCAATGGACCTTCTACTTGTTACTTTTGAGATTGTCGGGTTATTCTTGAATATTACGAAAATTGTGTGGCGAAATTAATCATTTGAGATTTCCTTCAATTCTCAATATCTCTTGTTGTAAAATTGTTCATTAATTCCAGTTGTTAACGAACGCCTTCGAACATTTATGAACAAAATTTATGAAGATGTATGCCTGGTTTAAGCTAGCAGGTATAATGTATTTTTTAATTACGAGAATTGTACAAATAGATGAATAAAGGTTTAAGTGTTACTGAGTTCTGGAATGTCGATATTCTTTATCATATCCTTTTGACAAAAATCCCTCAGCCCCATATTTTATTTATTATATTTTTTATATATTTCTTGAAACGCGATAATGAATATTCATAATCTGCTTCGAATGCAGATAATCTGAAATCTGTTGCAAATTGAGGAAAAAAAAATTGAGCATCATTTTTTTTTGTTATCCGAAATAAATTATTTGAGATCGAAATTACATAAATTATCAGGTGAGAATGCATATTCTGGGGTAAAAATTCAAGATTATCATTATATTTCACGGAAATCTGGACAATCTAAGAAAGAACGCGATCATTTCCAATCTCAAGACAAACAAATAAAAATGCGGTAAGAATTCTTTATCGTTTATACTTCTGTTTTATTATATTAATTTTTTATTTGTCTCTATAATTAGTAATTTGATTGGGTTTTTCTCTGATTGAAGGGATTGCTGTGGATCTCCGAATCAGCCACGAATCTCTATTATAAAGAACTCAGAACCACCTCAAATATGTCCTCCTATTTGTTTCACCTGGCCGTTGACGTGTCCGAGACCATCACCAGGACCCAAACCAATAAAAACAGAGGTTCGTTCTCAAAAATTCTATATGTAACAACCAGGAAGTGCGTGAAGTATTCATAGATCCTGTTACCTACCCAATTAAATATAGGGCCACAGTATGAATCTGCATTAAAAATCCCTTAAAAAATGAAACAAGATTGGAAATACTCATTTCTCGATGTAAAAGAATTTTTACGGGTTCTTCCCATACAGTAAAAATTTTAAAAGGATTGCATAGAGAATAGGATTGATTATGCATGTGTGCAAAATAGGGCTTTCTGCACGCCGCACTACAATACAAGTTTATCTGTTATTTCGCACTCGTATTGGATGAATCTTCTATTTTGCTCATTAATAAAAATGATTTTTTTTCCTCAGGTTTATCTTCGACCGGATCCGCTGTGTCCGCCATACTATCCCATGCCCTGTCCCCCTAAAGTCCAGGTGATATCACTGCCAATGAAAGATCCAGCTCCACCACCTCCTCCTCAGCCGCGATATTGTGTGACGATAAAAAGAATTCCCATTGGACCTCCTCCACCACCCACTCCACCCATATCTTCACCCTGTCGAGCGATTTGCAGTGAGTTTATATTGCAATTGGAATGTCTTTCTTTTATCTACACTGATATTTTATTACAGCACCTTGTTCTCCTGCATGTCCACTGTGAACTTCTACTATTATTCAAAAAGGAAAAAATTGCACAACCGAATTTTTCTGTTTAACAGGATTAACATGATTTCAACATGATTTCAAGATGATTCCAACATGATTCCTTGATTTAATAAAATTGTGCTCTAGTACAATTGTTTAAGAATAAAAGGTACAGAGGTATAGTATTTTTGGGGTTTTAATAAACAAATTGTGAACTCTTCAATTTTTAAAATTATATATATACGGCAGCAAATATATTTGCATTCAGTAAACTTAAAACAGAAAAACAAAATAAATAATTGCTGACATGGCAAATATACAAAATTCATTCAATATTTTTCAAATAATTTACGTCAGCGCAAGCCATCAGGTGACGATGCGTGCCTTTACGCATGCGCATGGATCCAATATGTTGTCAAGCATGTCTACGTCGGCAAGTTTATCCTAGTGATAACTGTATATTACCCGGACTTACCTTGATATTTCTCGCAAACAATTGACAGGTGCGTTGAGACAATCTCATCCGATCGCCATGCATTTGGGAATAACTTCCCAGCAAAATAAGTTCTTAAGTTTCATAAAGTCCTAGTGAACTTCTGTCCAGAACCATTGCATTCCTCAAGGTAAATATTCTCCCTGGTTCACCTATGGTTTAAATATGAATTGTGCAAACGTATAACTCATAAATTTATAAACAATAATAATAATTGTATAATTGGCCTGTATTTAATTATATTCAATTCGACTTCTTAGATTGGCGAAGATTCTAAAAATGCATCGACCTTCGTGGACGCTTATATTTTCTGGAATTTTTCTGGGTTACATTGCCTATGCAATATACAGCATTTCTCTATTATTTGTTCCACCATCATGTGAAGCTGGAACAACTTGCCTGAAGTCGTACCTCAATTACAAGCCTAAACTTCAGGTTCATTTATTCGCTTCACCAAGTGCCAGACCCACCAACGACGTCTATAGGATACACTCGGAGCTGAAATTTGATTATAATGCACCCAAGGAAATGCCAGTAAATCTACAGATTCCACCGAAAACTCGACAGAATGGAACTCTATTTCTTCACATAATTGTTCTTCCCGAAGTTACTGAGAACAAAAAACAGGACTACTCATTTTTCAACTTGCAAACGGTAATTAACACAAATGATCAATTGGATACACGCTGTGATATATTTTTTATACGTGAAATAATATTTCCGATGTGTTTCTGTTCAAAATATTGTCGAATTTCTAGAATCCATATGCAGTGATGACAAGAATAAAACTTACGCAATTCGCTGTACCAGAGGCAGAAACTTTCAATCTCCTCGATGATAAGTCCACAAAATCGAAAAAATCCCCAAAAAGTCGCGCCAAATCGGTCTCGCACCTGAGAACTCGTGTTACATTCAGAATGGTGACTGATGCCGAAGAATTTCCAGCACAAAAACTTCCTTTAGAACTCGTGCAGAGTCTCAAGGTGACTCGGGAGGGTGTATTCCTGCCAATAATCAATTACGATTTTCTCCAAACGAGACATCGAGACCTTGTGCAGATTAAACCCGAGGATCACATGATGAATCTGACGGTTTCTTATGCTCCAACGACGATGGGACTCTTGAGACTCGTGCTCCAGGTGAAAACTACAATGGAGACCATGAAATCACTTGGTTTCTCTGACAGAGATGTCGATGAAGTCAAGGGAATTTACGCTGACACGAATTTGTATCTGTTGGCTGGCACGATTTTCATCGCTTCCATGCACCTGCTATTCGATTTCCTGGCGTTTAAAAATGACATAAGTTTCTGGAAGAGTCGAGACAGCTTTGAAGGCTTAAGTGTTACGACTGTGGTTTGGCGAGGATTCAGTTCGACGATCGTCTTCCTTTATTTATTGGATGAAGGTTCCTCTCTTCTTGTGTTAATTCCATCCGGAATTGGAACTTTAATTGAGATTTGGAAGATCAAGAAAGTATTAAGACTTCAAATTTCAAGTGGCGGACGAATAATCTCGAGAGTAATGGGGAAAAAAGATGGAAAGAATGAGAACGAGGAGAACAAAACTCGTCAATTCGATGCCGAGAGCATGAGATATTTATCCTATCTATTATATCCATTGGTCATTGGTGGAGCTGTTTATTCTTTGTTGTACCAGCCACATAAAAGGTAAATCAACTTTGAACACTTGATTCGATCAAGCTGGAGTTAAATTCCTTCGTTTCTTTTTTAATCATCAACTCTCGATTGATTAATCAATTAATAAATTGAAATAATTCCAGCTGGTATTCATGGACAATAAATTCCCTGGTAAATGGAGTCTACGCCTTCGGATTCCTCTTCATGCTGCCACAATTATTTGTCAATTACAAATTAAAATCAGTAGCACACTTGCCATGGCGTGCATTTATGTACAAAGCATTCAATACGTTTATCGACGACGTTTTTGCATTTATTATAACAATGCCAACATCACACAGAGTGGCTTGTTTCCGTGATGATATCATCTTCCTCATCTATTTGTATCAACGATGGTAAGTATTTAAAATAGGAATGCTATTAATTGATAAATTTACTATTGCTTTACAGAGTGATTTGCAGAAGGAATTCTTATTAGATCATTAATTTCTCTACAGATCATACCTTATTTTCTCTCCCCAACATATTTACGAAATAATTTGTACTGAATTATTTCAAACAGAATAGATTTCATTATTCTAACTCCAGCCAATTATTTTCTAGGCTTTATCCAGTGGATAAAACTCGTATGGATACAACCACAATAGTGGAAGAACCGACAATGCCTTCAGGCCCCATCAAAAAGTCTGATAAGAAAAAAGACTAAAACAAATCACCAGAAAACATGATTGTAACCATTCCAATGTAGCTATTTTAAACTCTGTTTTTAGTGTTTATACCGAATAGTTGAATGAAGGGAATAGACTATTTAAATTCAACTGGTTTCTTTATTTGTTAAACAACTGTCGTTCGGTTTAGATCATCATCTTGACTAATTTGTGCTGATTTGGGTCTCTCGGCAAGACAGCGAATTTGTAATTGCATTGATGAAGTGACTTTACTGAGGAGTGCCTCAATCCGAGAAGCGTCAGTCCCATTTTTTGGAGGTGGAACTGCATCTAGAGCTTCTTCAAAGAATGTGCTGTTGGCAAATATATTTAAAGAGTTACATTTTTTTCATTATTTTTCCTCTATCAAAAATGAATATTTGCAGTTTATCCATCAATATCCATCCAATATCCATCCAGCAGTTGGTAAAATATTCTATTGCGTTTTTCAAGTTTTATAAATGAGTCGAGGGCATCACAATAAAATATCATGAGTCATTTTCTTGAATATTATCCAGAAAATTACACAGAAAATTTTTCATAACCTAAAATTATTCAACTTTTAGAGGATTGACAATCAATGGAAATTACCTTGCTCGCGGTGTACTGTAAATTAATAGGGCATTCCTTAATAATGTAATGTCAGCTCGGGCTTGAATAATTCCAGAAGGTCCGAATTTTCTCACACAAGACATTAATCTCGCCAGTTCCTCTGCGATTGTCTCCACAATATGAGATAGAACTCGTTTTAGGAGACCAGGAGACACTCGAGTAACCTACACATTATTTAAAATACGAAAATAAATATCGAATCCCTCTCTATTCTGTCTCGTGCGGCATAAAATTTTCCACAGAAGTGCTCTCGTTTTTTTAATTTTCCTTTTGAAAAAATCAATTAAATAACGCAGAATCCAATTTTCTCACACATGTCGCTTGCGAATTTTATCATATCAAAAGAATTTTAGTATGAATTTTACCTCTGCGTGTACAGCAATGAGATTAGCCAGTGCTTCCTGGGCATAAGGCCTGATATGAGTAGGCTCAACATCTGAGTCCCATTCGAGTCGCCCCAGGTACATGCTAGGCTCAATGGTCCCCACGAGAGGATCACATCGTCTCTCAAGATAGGCATCCAAAACTGCAGTATCCAGAGTTTCCAAGTGCGTCCAGTCTTTCCTCCAGCCATCAGCAGTCGACAGATCAGGATATCCTTTGGATTTAAGAGCCTCCACAACTCTTGGCAGAACAGTATTCATGGTGTAACGAATATTACTGAGAGTAATCAACAAACATTTCTCCCACGTCTGCAAGAACAATGCAAAGCAGTCCAATTGAAATATAGATATGAGATCATCTCTTCCTGTTAATCATAAAATCAGAGTAATGGACTTGCCGGAGTGACAGGGCCTCTATGTTTTTCCCTCGATCTGTAAACTGCAGGTGAGCTGACAAGTTGAGAAACATCATCTTCATCATTAGCCTCTTCGCTACCACTGAAAGCTAATTGTTGTAGGCACCTTGAGAATGCTACGAAGAGCATCTTAACCGAATTATGGAAGAGAGCTTGGGGTGTGATATTGTCTAGGAGTGGCGTTTCCCTAGGTCCACATGCAATGGCAGTTTCTCGAGCACGATCAGATACCTCCATCACCATTTCTTCGAATAAACATGGCAATTTTGTTATCCCACCGTCTTCATTCGGAAGGTATTCCAATTGCCAGGTTTCTTTTTTCTGTAGTCCCCCGACATTGTCAGCAGTTTGTTTGAAGAGAGCGACTAAACATTGCAATCTGCCAAGAAGATTCATAAGAAAAATTCTCTCTTTATTCTATTATTATATATTTTCGAGAATTAACTAAGAATGCTTTCCATTCAAATTTTACAACAAAAACTTTCATCCTCTTTTCAAAAATCACTTTTATCTGATTTATTCAGATCGGGTATGTTTTTTTTCACTCACCTAAGATCGAACAGACATTTTCCAAAAATATCTAGAGCCTCACTAGGCAAATCCAGATGAATAAGGGCAGCATACATCTGTCTAAAACATCGCAGGCTGTGCATTAGCCAAGCTGGTGTCAAATCCTTGCCATAGATCTTTATGGCTTCGCTGGCCCTCTGAATGCAGCTGAGTACCAAATTTTTGAAAGGCCCCTGTTTTTCGGCGTCCACAGCGACATGGAGCTGTCCAGTAAAGTAACTCTGTCCCAATCGCCATAAATCAGGTAACTGTTCAGCTACAACGTCACAAATCGCTTCAATACATAAGACTCTCGAAGGCACATTGCAATTGGCATCGTTTCTGAACATCCTCTGCCTATCAGCAGCGATTGGCGTCAAGTTGTTGCTCTTTTGTCGATTGATACCGTCATCATTGGCATTGTCGGCAAGAAAATCCTGAAGACATCCGGAAATGTTTTTGTCCAAGTAGGCAGCATGCGAGACAATAGCGTCCCAGGCAGGATCTCCGTCAGCCTCAAGATTCACTAAATGTCGAATTATTTTCTTTTGTCTCTCGAGTGCGAACGGAATTTCCTCCAATTTTTTGCGTAGAATGTCCCTCAGCATTTCTATCTTATTCTCAATCTCAGCTAGGACTTTTTTAAAGATTTCAACATCGGTATTACCGAATAAATTCTTCACTCTGGCATAATCATTGATAACCAAGTCATAGTTTCCCCTCTTTATATTCTTCTCAATATTGACAGGCATGCAGAAAAGAAATCGGTAACGCTGCATGACTGATAGAGCACTTCTGGTTGCGTCTGCCCTATCCCTCCTAGCCAGCACGTCATCAAAGAGTTTATTTGCTTCCTCCATCGATGTTTTGATGGCTGCCTCGAGTTTTGCTGTGGGATCGTCACCGAATTTCTTGACGTCAGCCTCAAATTGCTCCTTCAGCAGGACAATAGTTTCCAGCTGTTCCATGACTGACCCCACGTTGGCCTTCAGGAAGGAGAGCTGCCCCTCTTTCTGAGAATTCACTTTACGCCTGAGATAGGCGAGCCCTGCCTTCAGGTCATCCAGGGAAGTGGCATGGTGATGCTGAAGGAGAAACCATCCCGGATGGAATTTCTCAGACGTAAGTTCACCATTGCTTTCTCCGAAGAGCTCGCACAGCTCGTCCTCTGGGAATTTCTTAACGTCATTGCCCTCAACGCTAAGTCCTAAGGGATCCTCTTGTTGATAATTTGTCGGGGAAAGGGCTCGTCGACCCCAGACGAAGCTCTGGACTGGGGCCTCCTCAACCCAGACTGCGGATTCCTTCATTGGGCCAATGGTCTCGTGGTATCCCCGGAATTGAACTGTCGAGGTACCCTGACCACCGCTTCGAGTGGTTACGATTATATCCCCTCGGCCTTTGCAAGGACCCGAACGGGCTATAATTTTGTTCGCAGACTTCCATTCTGCGGAGAGGAGACAGTCACAGCCGCAGATTGTCAAACCTAATTACGATCAGGTATTCTTTAAGATCCTCGGAGTGTAATTAAGAAAGAGAATTGATTTTGGTCAAAGAAATATAATTTCTTTGCAGATATCAAGACGAAACACTATTCCCACTTGAAAGATCAAACCTTCATTATATTCATATTAATTACGCGAGTGTGATTATATGAACATTTTCAGAGCTCATAGTGAATAAAATAATTGTAATCAATTTTACCATCAATGAAAAACGAAGTAATGGTTTCGGATCGATTATTGTTTTTAAAGGACATAATTCAATTTCAGGTGTGATTTAAATTTTATTTTCTTCATGAGTTTAGATACTTGCCTACTAGGTCCTGTGCCCTATTTCCCAGAAATTCCCCACGAACCGTGACTCTTGTTCCCGGCGGACCTTCCTTAGGAGAAATCCCAGTTACAACAGGAGGTAGAACCATTTTCAGTGAAAAATTTTTAATAGGAGTAATAAGAATAAATTAAGCCTTATGACAACAGTGAATAGCACTTTTCTGATTCCAAGTATTCCTCGATGAGTTCTTCCGCAAAATTCATGATAGAATTTATGAAGAATTTGGTATCTGGTGAAGTCTATCACACCCACATCCGGGGTTCAGTACCGACAGAATTGTAGGGTATTTATTTAGAAGTTTGTGAAACATTTGTTTTGACAGGTAGTTCGTGGTTGGGAGAGGTTATGTCAAAGAGGATTGACTAAAGTAGAGGCTCAGTTCTGGGGGTTTGAGTGACCCCAGCGGCATCGTAGTAGTCGACCCCATAAGAGGGAGGGCGCCCACACGCAACGCTGGGGTATTTGTCGTTAGCAGACTCAGCGACTTTTCAGTAATATCTCTCCAGCTTCCCTTTTAGCAACTCTGAGCTCTTCGATGCCTCAGATTCCACTGACTGGAATTTTTGACGAGCTGATTTCAAAGCCTCCGACTGCTAATTATTTGTGTTTCAACGAATTAACAGTTATTACAAATATCTTCACAAATTTGTCAGTGATGTTTACTTGATTTACTTCAATAATAATTTAATATCCTACTTACCGTTTTGGGCGGAGATGGATTATCTGGCAAATATAATTTACTCCGAAATTTGGACTGCTAGTTACTCCGGAAATTAAGGCCCGGGTGGAGGGATTTTTGCCCGACATGTCCCTAGGGAATTCCCTAGAAAAAACGCGTTTTACGGGTAACTAAATGCCAGCCCCTGTAGGCCCTCAAAAAATATAATGATAGGGTCAATCGACAGATCATTATTTTTGCCGGGCCGGTAATTAGGTCTCAGGGGTGGG